AGAATAACTCATCTGCACATATCCAGATATGATTTTAAATGATGTGTCTTACTGTGTGTCCCAACAGAAAGCACAGTTTGACTGGGATCCTGAAACGGTGGGAATGATCCACGGTTCATTCTTCTGGGGATACATTGTAACTCAAATCCCAGGAGGGTTCATTTGTCAAAAGTTTGCAGCAAACAGGTCTGTTAACCTCCTGCACCGTGCAAGGAATAATCAGCTTTTGTCGCACAGCATATTCAATGGGGTAATTTCTTCTCCGTGTTTTGTTTCTTTTTCAGGGTGTTTGGCTTTGCTATAGTGGCAACATCTTTCCTGAACATGCTCATTCCTACAGCAGCTCGTATGCACTTTGGCTGCGTTATCATTGTCAGGATCTTTCAAGGACTTGTGGAGGTGCTTCTCTCTCCCCTGAAGTGCAATGTGCTTCTGTTTACATAATGCAGTTGAGATTATTTACAATCATGCAAATTCCTACATTCTACTCCTATTCCCACAGGGAGTTTCATACCCAGCATGTCATGGTATTTGGGCCAAATGGGCACCACCTCTTGAAAGAAGTCGCCTGGCAACAACAGCCTTTTGTGGTGAGTCCGTGATCAGTGGCCTTGCTCTGCCTGCAAACAATGTGTGATAGATTAAGACAATTAACAACAAATATATCTAAACAATATTAAAATAAAATCAAAATTTTCCTGTTTTAGGTTCTTATGCTGGTGCTGTGATTGCCATGCCATTAGCTGGAATCCTAGTCCAGTACTCAGGATGGTCATCTGTCTTCTATGTGTATGGTAAGACGCCTTTAACCTGGGCCTCATTTCAAACCCTTCAGTTTGGAATGAATATGCATTTTTCTAATAAGCTAACTGTTGTTGATACATGAAAATGCGGATGCTTGCGACGACACTGAACGCACACAGTAGAGCCTCACTCATAATGAAACTATGAGAAAAGGAAAACCACAACAGACCAGCGCCATAAATACCAGAAGGATGTAGTCTCATGGTAAAAAAGAAATTACACCACATGTTGTGTCAAAACTGTTATACGTTCGGACACAGTACCGTGGAACGAATCTTGAGCAATGCCTTAGTTCTTTTTATTTTTCGACAGCGCAGCAATTTATTGAAACAGCATATGTGACAAAAACAGTTTTAGTTCAATAGTTCAGTACAATTGTAACAAAGTTGAAAGTGAATATTTGACTACCTTGATTCTTTGGCACACAAAATCTGAACTCTGTGAAGGACATTCAAAGCTCTTCTTTGGATGTTGGTTGCCTTTTGTTTTGTTCTCTGGGGATCCTACATTCCTAATTAGTGCTGAGGTAAACTTGGGGAGGCCAATCCACAACTGTGTGTTTTCCCTGTTTCCCTTCTGTCTTCTTGACAGCCACCCTCCCACTGAGACAAACTCTGTTGAAGCTTCAGTGAACAATAGATTGATGTATTTCTTGGGAGCACTTAAAGTCACAGTGTTAGGCATTATTAAGGTATTAGCAAGTGCTTAATTCATTATTTTTGCAGCATTACTCCTCATTAGTTTGACATTCATAAAAACAGATATATTATTATGAATGTTATTATGATTATTAGTAGTGATGTAATACCAGTGATAGTTGTACATGATGTAACAATAACAGACAGATAAACATATCTGTATTTATAAAGCACATACTAAGGAGGAGTAATGATATATAAATGTTTAATTAAGCACTTATTTTACCGTGTGACACTTTTATGAAGTGCTACCAACGTTTTTACTCTTTATTAAGGACTTTCGGATCGCCTTCATTTGCTGATAGTTTTTTTTAGATGTGCCGCTTCCTCTTTTGACCTGCAATTGTCCAGTTTCGGCAAAACTTTTAAAGGAAGCACTGCACAGCATGCTGAGATATGCTCAGCACATCTCAAGTATTTTGAGTGCTTAAAGATTCAGCAGACAGGTTTTTGCGAATCACTTTGTTGGTGGAAAAAAATATTTTTTTTGTATAGAAATGGAGCAAATTATTTGTACTAGCAATGTGTAGACACAACACTGGTTCATCCCTCGAGTCGGATCAGCTCAGTGTCACGTGGCTTAACAAATAAACACATTCTTCTGAACATAGTCAGGCACGGGTACAAAAACTGGCCTGAAAAGTAATCGACGTCTAAAGAAAAACTCATGAGGGCTAAAGAACCATTGCTCAAGACCACTTTTAAAAGTTACAGCAAAGTCTGGGTACTTGGAAGAAGAATCTAAAGAAATGAGGGGTCTTTGTTTGCACAGTATTGTAATAACAAATGAGTTAGTGTGTAAAAAAATAATCTTTTTTCTCCAATCTGCCTGTTCCTTCCCCAGGAAGTTTTGGTGTTATGTGGTATTGCTTTTGGATCCTGGTCTCGTATGAAAGTCCGGCAGCTCACCCCACCATCACCGAGGAGGAGAGGAAATACATTGAGGAAAGCATTGGCGAGTCAGCCCAATTTACAGTAACGGTCAGTACATGCAACAGATTTCTCAAGATCTGTCAATTAAAACTCTGCACTTCATTCAAGGGCATTTCACTAGTTTCCAGGATTGCTATGAAACCACGTTAAAAAAAAAACCCTCTTAAAAATAGATGAGTTTATATGCTGATTCAAAGTGAGATAACGGAGATGATAAACAAGCAAACACCGAGTCAGAAGCTCAATTGTTTATCTGTCACAGTGACTGATTTAGAAACTCTTTGTTAGCACTCATTTCTGTATCTGCAGTCAAGCAAAACTCAGTTCCACACACCCTGCTCTGTTGTCGTTTGTGATGCTCGTTTGTTTCAAAGGAAAACATTTAAGAAATTAATTAGTTACGTGTTCAAGCAAAGAGCTGTACACGTTTGAGACAAAATCAGAGAACTTCTTTACAAAATCACTAAAATCATCATCACATTTTTCCCTTACAGAAATTCAACACACCGTGGAGGGCCTTCTTTACCTCCATGCCAGTGTATGCCATCATCGTAGCCAACTTCTGCCGAAGCTGGACTTTCTACTTGCTCCTCATCAGCCAGCCTGCTTACTTTGAGGAGGTCTTTGGGTTTGAAATTAGCAAGGTAACAGGTGCAGCCGACAAGCAAAAACCTTTCAGCAGTTATATCAGAAAATAAAGGACATCACTGCAGCTTTGGTTGCGTGTCTTGCCACTGCAGTGGTAAATTTAAATGTCCTCATTTGTACCATTGCAGTTTGCACACCTTATATTGACAAATCATGAAGCACTGACAACAATTTTTCACCTTAATTTACTAAAATTAAATTTTTTAAATTGTGTTATTCTATGGAACTTTTTTTTTTAATATCAATTCATTTATAGGCTGTTACACTGAAGCATTTCTATTTTAGTGTTATTGGTCATTCAAAGCTTTGTCTCATATTAACACATACACCCAATTTAGAATCATTAATTAAATATCCTGTATGTCTGACTGAGGAAACCAGAGTACCAGAAGAACAACGGCTTTAGGGAGGATTTCTAGAACCATTCTGGCACCATTATAATGGTCTGCACCACCCTGCTGCAAATAAGCAACAGGAGAATGCACAGAGTGCATCTGCCCATTGACAGGAAATGCTCTCTATGTTCCTTCCGCAGGAAGGATCCTGGACCTTGAATTTTTTATTACAAGATCCTGATGTCAGCCATCGTTCTGATGTCTCAGAGCATTATCTTGACAAAATAAAAAGTGTGTTGTACACCTCTCTCCATGCTTTTGCATATGCTATATCTACACTGCTGACATTTATGTTCAAGCTCAACTTTGACCTTTAATGAACTTAAATTTTTATTTAAAATCTTGGTGAAAAATAAGAGTTTTCTAAATTTGTTTTTGTATTTGAATGTCGTTTGTCTTCCAAAACTGCACCTTAAAGTCTGGAAGAAACTATATGAATATGTACTTTTCTGTGCCTCATAAGCACGTTAGCTTGAGCTCCAGTCCAGGCAGATTATAACTGTAGTGACAGAAGTTGCTGCGATAGAGTGGTGAACAGTCTTGGGTCCAAATGTAAAATATTTCCTTACCCAGGTTTCTGAGAATGTACGTACAATAACATGGCAGAGATCGCACTGTTTGTGCCAACTTCCATGGATGTTTTGCACTTGTTAAGGCTTTTTTCTTGTTCTCATCTAGGTGGGGATATTGTCTGCTCTTCCTCATCTGGTTATGACCATCATTGTGCCCATTGGTGGCCAGATTGCTGACTATTTGCGATGCAACCACATCATGACCACCACGAATGTCAGGAAGCTAATGAACTGTGGAGGTAAGAAAGAACCAACTAAAGGGAAGGGAAAACAAAAACTTGCATAAATGAAACAATCACATTTGACAGGACAGAAACAGCCTGGGAAGTCAAGGGCAATGTGGACGTGCTCACATCTGTGAAGAATGAGTGGCAAATGCCAGTCAATCGACACAGCACCTGTCTGTGAGCACAGGTCTCATTCAAGGACATCGAGCTCTCATGCCACGCTCATGGACTCTCATTATCTGTGCAGCCTGTAAGGGCTGCAGGTTATGCTTCCAAACTGGACAGACTGACAATGCAATAACTAAGTGTTCCCTTAATTGTTTATGGAGCAGCGTATATATGGTCCTTTAATTTTGAGAGGTTAAATTGGCACATACTCAAAATCTTATATAAAATTATTTTAATTTTATGTTGTTTTCTGCATGCGCTAACTTTGAAGTGAGTCAAGCGACACTGAAGAAACAAGCACAGTAACACGACTGTGGTGAGAAGTCATTTACCACATAAGGCAAATGATGACTCACCAATAACAGAAGCCCTGCCACTGTCCGCTATTTTTACATTGTAGAGAGAAACCAAACAGCAAACACCAAAGTGAAATGCAGAAGCTTGCAAGGCACTTATCTCTAACCAATCGACAAGACTTCCAGGCCCATTCGGTTAGCGAAAAGTGTGAACACAAGGCAACAAAATAAGCACTCACACTGTTATATTTTAAAACTATTTATATGTCTGTTTTTTGCTTGCTTGCATCAGGGTTTGGGATGGAGGCTACCTTGCTGCTGGTAGTTGGTTTTTCACACACAAAAGGCATTGCCATTACATTCCTGGTCCTGGCTGTGGGTTTCTCTGGTTTCGCCATTTCAGGTGAAATATGAAGTGTTCCTTCAAAGATTTTAATCATAAATGATATGCGACTGAAAGCTAAGCAGCTACATAGTTCTGTTTTTATCACAAGATGGTAATAATATTAATGGTTCCTCACAAGGTTTCAATGTCAACCACCTGGACATTGCACCGCGGTATGCTAGTATCCTCATGGGTATCTCCAACGGCGTAGGCACCTTGTCTGGGATGGTCTGCCCACTTATAGTCGGTGCCATGACAAAGCACAAGGTGAGAACTGTTTCTGAATTTGTGACTCTAACTGATAATAATGTGTGCTTGTAAGTGTAATCAACTTTCTCATGGTTCTCTCTCATGTTTTCCTGGTAGACGCGAGAAGAGTGGCAGGGCGTGTTTCTTATTGCCTCACTCGTTCATTATGGAGGTGTTATGTTCTATGGTATGCATAGTCTCCTTTCTTGTGCTTAACCGGATCAACTACAAAAATTCAGAATGAGGAAAACTCAGCAAAACTCTGTATACTTGTCAGCTATAGCAGTCAGTGAGTTTGTGTGTCTGCTGCAGGTATTTTTGCATCTGGAGAGAAACAATCTTGGGCAGAGCCAGAGCAGCTGAGTGACGAGAAATGCGGGATCCTGGACGAGGACGAGCTTGCAAATGAGACGGAAGAACTGTATCGCACAAGCGGTGGAGCGGGCTACGGAGCCACGAACCAGGCATCGGATCCCAACGGAGGGGGCATGGCTGGGGGAGGAGGAGGAGGCTGGGTGTCAGACTGGGACAAAACTGAGGAGTATGTCCAACCAGCCGGAACCAATAATTATCTTTACGGAGGAGAGGGCGACCGAGAGTTATAACGTAAAGCCAGCAGACACAGTTTATCAGCAATGTGGAATTTCACTCAATGGCATTAAAAAACTGGTGGGAATGTGGGGATGGACAATTTTCAGCAGGTCTGACTATTTTATCATAAATTAAGAATTTCACAGAGACTGCACAGTAGAGATGAAGACAGTAGTAAACGTAAAATGTGTTTGTGCATGAGTGCAGTCGTTATACGCTGTGTGGCAGAATGGTGTCACCGGCCCACCTTCAGACATGTCGGAGGACGGCTTTAGGCCTGGTGTGGCGTTCTTTGATGCTTAGTCATTGTAACTGTAGAAACTGGACTGACATGACATGGATTTCATTTCTATGCCTCTTATTTGTATTTTAATCACTTGTGATTACACATCTTTAGGTGCACAATGATCACACTGACTTTGATATCTATTGTCAGATTAGTTTCGAAGACAAGATTTTTCATAGGGGTGGCCAAGAGAGAAACAACCTGCTGTAGGTTTATGTATTAGTCTTCCTAGTCAAATGGTACATTTACTACATAGAATAATAACGTATTTGTTTGATTTTTATTTTTCACCCTTATCTGATTTAAAAAACAAAACAAAAAAGATCTGCAACCACCTGTTGAGATACTCTCATTCATGGCAAAACAGGTTTGCTGAAGATATAGTAATTTCTGGATGTAATTTCTCCATGAATATATAGTTGAACATAGCCACCCATGGCCACCCCTTGTCTCTGCCCCTGGCCCCAACAGGTTTTTGGTTGTTTTGTTTTGTTTTTCATTATTGTCCTTAATGTGCACATTTTAGAAAAAAAAAAATCATGTGCCAATACAACACAATATATAATGTTCTGTAGTATTGGTTTATTCATCCACTGAAAAAGGAACTGAACATCTGCAAATAACACCACATCTGGCTTTCTGGGAAGTCTACATAGACATTTTAGATGCACTTTTTAACCACTGTATGTAGTGGACTACTACCTTGCCTACTAGCTGTCATACTGTGAAAAAAAGCATATAGGATTAGTTTAAATCTCCAGAACATCAACGTCCTCTTTTAAAATTAGACTCTTAGGTTAGAAACTGTTTTTCTTTCTGTTTCTTTCTGTTTCTATTCTTTCTGTTTCTATTTCTAAATAGAAACAGAAAGAAATTTTGCAAAAACAGAATTTTGCTTTGTATGATTAACATCTAATACGTCCTCTATTGGTATTATTTTGTTCTGCTCCATCTGTGTTTGAGGCTGGCATCAGAGGAAGCAGTTTGCTGTCTCCAGTGAAGTGGCAAAGCACAAACAGCACCAAGCTGAGGCTGT